CAGAAGAAGTAACCAGCCGCGTACGTGTTGTGCAGGTGCAACGTGTCGCAAATGTACTTGGCCAGCCGATGAGATTTCGCCTGTCGCTCGGACTTGTTATCCATCGAGGCTCCCCTCATGCCCTCGGATATCATTCTGACCTTGCCCTCCTCCCACTGCTTCCATATCCAATGCGGCATGTAGAACAGCATGCCTTGGAAAAAGAGCATGAACGGCACCCACTGATAGTACGAGTGATACCTCTTCTCCCCAATGTCACCGCCAAGACCGGGGTGAGCCACGTGCGTGCCCACCGGTTTCCCATTGTTCTGCGGCAGTGTGAACGTGTACGTGATCCAGCAATACGTGTTTATCACGTTCTCTGGTACACCTCCCTCGCTTAGGCAGTGTATCGGATCACCTGCAAGAATCATCGACATGTATTTTCACACTTCACAACTCTTCATGTTTGGACACTCAACTTGGATCTTTTTCCTTTCGAGCGCCTTTTAGCAGATTTTTAATCACGTTGAACGCCACGCGACTATAGCTACAGAGATATGTAACACTTGACATTTACGCGTTGTTGTTTTTAATAGTGTTTTAATAGAGAATTCATCCTGTTTCAATTTGATACAATTTTTTAATTCTTCGATTCGTGAATTTCTTCATCACCGGAAAGTAACGTCAGTCTTCGTGGCGGTCGACGTGTTAAAAAGGGGGATTTGATTCAAAATCGATCGCACAAAACTTGATCAGAAATTCACTTTCATTACATTCCCTTTCAACGTCTTTATCTGTACTAATCGTATTTAACTTTTGCGACTTTTTTTTTATTTTACCGTGAAGATAGCTGTTTTGGATCAGTGTTGTTCAAAGTTCGCGCCTCGAATTTACCTTTCGTTTGCATAAGGGGGATTTGATCGAACGAAAATCAATCGGAACGAAACTTGATCAGAAATTCACTTTCATTAGATTCCTTTTCAACGTCTTTATCTGTACTAATCGTATTTATCTTTTGCGACTTTTTTTTTATTTTATCGTGAAGATAGCTGTTTTGGATCAGTGTTGTTCAAAGTTCGCGCCTCGAATTTACCTTTCGTTTGCATAAGGGGGATTTGATCGAACGAAAATCGATCGGAACGAAACTCTAATATTATACTGAAGATAGCGCAAAATTGTTCAATATCGTTCGAAATACCTGCGTATTAAGACGACGTGTCGACTTTTCATTTACTTGCAGCCAGCTAAATTTGAACGAAAAAATACACCTCGCGAGTTCGCCGAAACACGTTGATCGGATTGATCGGCGAGCGTCGGATTGCGAATGACCTCGCGAGGCACAAAACGGCCATGCGTTATCCGTTTGATTATGAGCGCAATTGCGCGTAAAATTATGCAACCAGCATATTCCCTGTCGGCGAGAACGTTGAACGAACGAACGAACGAACGAACGGTGTTTCCGACCGAGCAGAGGATGGAAGAGGAGAAGTGCGGCCACCAGAATACGCGCGGCGTACGAATCCGCGCTGATAGGTCGCTCGTTAAACGGGCTGATAACGCGCGACACGGTCGTGAATCTGGTCTGGAGGTCTCGTCATCCTCGGCATCAGGATGCTGCCGTGGTGTGTGTGTCCATCGATAAACAAGCACGCGCGCTTATGCCCTCGAAACGAGACGACTTCAATCGCGATCGTCTGTGCAGCCAACATACGCTCGCGTTTATGCAACCGTTGCGCCTCTCTCTCTCTCTCTCTCTCTCTCTCTCTTGTTCCCGTACGTCAGATAAGAGGATCATTTTTCATCCTTAATTCACTTACGGATCGAGTGATTGTCGGAAATGAGAATAAGCAATCGCGTGGAGAAGCGCGTTTGCTCCGCAGCTGGATTCGATTGTGTATGTGTGTGTGTGTGTGTATCTCCTTAGTCAGACTTTTGAGATCGTACAAGAATAAAACGATAGCTGCTCCAATTTTCAAGCAGTAAATTAATTGACTGGTATATCATGAAAGTTGAAATATATGTCCTCCGTTACTGTGCGATCCTCACAAAAATAACGTTGTATAAAGAACGTTAAACGAGTCGTTGTTACCAAGAATCTTCAATCTTCGTCGGTGGAATTTTAATTACGTACTTGTAATTCCTTAATAATCCTGAAGCACTTTTTCACCGCGTGGGACTATACAACTACACACAC